CATAATTTTTTCTATTCTAAATTCTGCCAGGCAATATGGGTATGCATTTATATAAGAAATCCTTTACAGGTGGCTGAAATCAAGAGTTGCCAATATACAGCACAAATAGTGAGTCAAGAATTTCCCTCAAATGGAGTAAACAACACTGTACTTATTTTGGAAGAGCTGGAATTTGAAGACATAGATGCAGCACTGGCAATTTAGTTATTTGTTTTTTCACCACGTGTGTATATATGTGTATGCTTGTGTGTATGTATGTGTAATTATGAAGGAAGGTGTACGCTTCCACAGCTCATGCTAGTCTAAGTATGATGAGGAGTGTGACCTTATAGCAGCTTTCCAGTACTTAAAGGGAGCCTACAGAAAAGTTGGAGAAGGACTCTGGATCAGGGAATGCAGTGATAGGATGATGGGTAACGGTTTTAAACTGAAAGAGGTGGGATTTAGATTTGATATTAAGAAGAAATTCTTTGCTGTGAGGGTGGGGAGACACTGCCCAGAGAAGCTGTGGCTGCCCCCTCCCTGGAAGTGTTCAAGGCCAGGCTGGATGGGGCTTTTGAACAACCTAGTCCAGTGGAAGGTGTCCCTGTCCACAGCAGGGAGGGTGGAACTAAGTGATCTTTAAGGTTCCTTCCAACTTAAACCATTCTATGATTCTATGAATTCTATTTAATATATGCAAGGATATCACTTGGGAAAAGGTACTTATTACTTATGTGAATCCATCTGTCATTATAGACCTACATCAACTAAGTCATGTGAATTTGTACTGCTAACAGGTGGGATAACAAGAAACTAAGTAATTTGTGACATAAATGATAGTTAAATCAAAAGAAAATTATTGTTTTAAAATGTGCTTGCTTTTGCAAAAATCTAGGACAGATATTTGGAGGCCTGCTGAAAGCATTGCTTCTAGTGAAATGGCTGTATAGCAGTGACAGGCTTTTGATGCAACTATCAAATATAAGCACTATTGCATTAGCATAGCTACGTCTACGCTTAAAAACCACCTACATTTGAGGCAATCCATTTATACAGAAAGATGTAATGTCCCATGCCAGCAGCATAAATTAATCTTTAAGTTGGCTAAATAAGGATACCTTTTACATAAGTGAACCTCTGCACAGTGCAAAAGCAGACACCAAATTACACAAAACTGAACATCAGCTGTCACAGCAATGGTAAAAGAAATGCACTCCCCCTACTCCCCCAACTATTGAGGGAAAATGAGAAGGGGAAAAAATGCAAACTAACAGCTGCATTGCCCTGCCAAGCTTTTTTCCAGATCCTTACTTATAGCAGGCTTTCCAGTTTAGTTCTGTTTCACTTAAAATATCTGTGGGGAGTTTTGTAGAAAACAGATGTAAAAACATTTTGTTTTTAGTAAGGAATAAATTTTATGACTATTTTGAAGTAAACCTGCCACTTAGCTTGAGTTAAAGGTTTTGGTAAATAAAAACCATCTCATTATCTTTGTTCCCAATGACCATAATAGCAGAATAACACAGGCATTTTAAGCCTCCCATGTAGTTAAGTTCACTGAAATCTTACACATCAGCTATATGCGAAGCAATTAGGTTAGAGATCAGCAAAGCTGTTAAACGTTAAGTGCTTCTGAAGCACTTATGAAGTGCTTATGAAGGCTACTGCCCAATATAAGCCCAACACCTCAGATAATGGAGGTGGGGTCACTGTGCTATCAAAGGCAGCAATCAAGCATGTTTCCCTCCAGTATCAGTACACAAACAGCAATCCTCTCACTTTTAATGAGAGAAGGTAAGCCTTGGAGGGTAAGCATCAAGACTGCAACGGGCAGTTGATTTAGCCTGCCTGTTTCTGTTCTAATGGCCAGAGGCTGTCATGGTAACACAGATATCCTGTGGCTAGGAGGAGCAGGGAAGTGATTGCCCCCCTGTACACGGCCCAGTGTGGTGGTGCAACCCCCTTCTCCCTCTTAAGGCTACTCGGTACTTGGTGTGATCTCCCTCCCAAACTGGGCCGCAAAACAACACAACGGACCAAAATGTAACATAACAGTCGAACATGAAAGGAAGAAAAGGCAGAGAGCAGCAGACAAAGAACACAGTAGTGTGCCTAATCCCTATGGCTCCTACCACTTGAAGATAATAATCATAGTAGATCACTCCTGACACCACATGAATCATGGCCACAGAGGCAGGGAGGAAAAGGAGAAAAGGAGGCTGAGGGGAGACCTTATTGATCTCTACAACTACCTTAAAGGTGGTTGTGCAGAGGTGGGGGTTGGTGTCTTCTCCCAAATAACAAATGATAGGACAAGAGGAAATGGCCTCAAGTTGTGCCAGGTGAAGTTTAAGGTAGATATTAGGAAAAATTTCTTCACCAAAAAGGTTATCAAACATTGGAACAGGCTTCCCAGGGGTGATGTGGAATCACCATCCCTGGAGGTATTTAAAAGATGGGTAGACGTCGTGCTGAAGGGACATGGTTTAGTGATGGTTTTGGCAGTGTTAGGTTGATGGTTGGACTTGATGATCCTAAGGGTCCCTTCCAAACTAGATGATTCTGTGATTCTATGATATTGCTTCTTAAAAACCTTCTTGGAGCACTGTTGCCTTTGGTGTCTTTTTTCCCTGGTAAAGCAATACTCAGAAAAAAGGTCAGGTGTTTAGTGCAGTGTTTTTTGGTACAAATGAACAAAACATATGTCCCTTCTCTGTTTGTACTGAAGTGATTAAGGATGCAAGGATAAATATATATTTTCCTCTGAATCAGGACAGTAAGAGATTTGGTTCTGAGTCTCTCATCCCAAATCAGTACTCTCTTCACCAGTTTGGTTTTGGGTTTTTTTTGGCAAAAAATGCAGTAAATGCGTGGGTTTTCTGCTCCTGTGTACAGAAAAGCTGGTTTTAGCAATTTAGAAAGTTAACATGAAATGGAAATGGCATCCTCTGGTCAGCTCTGTAACAGAGAGAGGCAATTTTGAATTAAGATTGTGCTTAATGTAAATATAAATATGGTAAAGTAAAAAAGGAAGAGTTTAATAGCAGCATTACAGCTAAGATTGTTAGGGTACATTTGCTAATAGCAATTTCTGACTTGTACTGCAGCGTTTCATGCCACCTGGATGCCTCATGTGCTTCTTCTCAAGGAACACATCTTGTCCATTGGATTTATCACAGTTCTTCCCTGGCTCTCAAGTACCTGACAATCCTCACTTTCCAGAAGGTGGGTAGTCTCTCCCTTTCTGTGGGGGTCTCTCCTTGACTCATTTTTGTTGTTGACATGATCAAACAATAACAATTATATCTATTACCTTGTTGGGTATAAGTTGCATATCATGTAGCTGCATTTCCATTTTTCCCTGTTTTGAATATTTCATCAGATTGAATCAGAATTCTTTGTAAAGTACATTTAATAGCAAGAAAGTATGAATCAGTTCTATTAAACAAACCACATTTAAGAGTTATGATTTAAGTCTAAAAAATGTGATAAACAGCTTTACAAGCACTCAGACATTAACAGTCCTGAGGATTTCTAAAATAAACTTGTAGGTAGGAACTTAGGTGAGAAGCCAGTTCACAAGTGCAGTTAAGCCATTTGCAATCTAACAGAATCAGTGATACACTATACTTAACACTATATTCAAAACAGAGAATTTTCTGGGGCCTGGAGTATTTCCTCTTCCACAATTGTTTGGTTACAGGTATCAATCTCATTGTGATGCTGACAGCCAAAATAGCCTGAGGGTATTAAACACTGAGATATCCCAAGGAGAAAAAAATATGGAAAATATTTTACAAACTGTTGACAAAAGACACACACACAGAGCCATAACAAAAGACATCAAAGTTGCTGGGAAGCTTCTATTTGAAGAAAGAGAAGTACACAAAGAAAATACAATAGCACTTAAAAAAACCCTAAGAATCATCTTGTATTAATGAGGCCTACAATTACTGCAATAGATAAAATGGGGCATAGTGAAGTAGAACAGTTTCTTTCTTATAGCAAATCAATAACACTATGTAATTTTTCATTTTTCTCTCTACTTTTACCACAAGAGGTTTTTCCTCTTCAAGAAAAACTGTAAGTAACATTACAGGTAAGATGTCCTGAAAGGATAGAAGTGTGACATTGGCACATGTACAGATTAATTTTACATAGAAATGTGTAGTTTGGAAAGGAACAGAATTGAAGTTTGATTTAGTTTTAAGTATAATTAAGATACACGTATTTAGTCTTTATATACTAGCTTTGGTGGAAGATGGTGTTTAATGGCTCCAGAAAAGAATGGATAACACAAATAGCCTTTCTGGGAGAGAATGCCTCTAACCTGTCTTACTTACACCAGCCCTCCAGGGTCCCACATGCCATCATACAGCTGGTTACCTCACCAGAGGCAACACAGAATATCATGCTGGCAACACAAGCAATGGGGTTTTCTCACTCATTTAATGAGAATTAATGTAGTTCAAATTGTTAAAAAATTACTAAAGAAAGTTAAGGCAGTTTTCATGAGATACAAGTTGCAGCTGTGGAAGCATACAAAGGATTTAAACACCATAACAGTACATAACTAAATTTTGCATTTCCAAATTCGTTTTGCTTCCATGTTTTAGCAAGGGAATGTAAATTTTTAAGGAAGAGTTACAGAGTTGCATAAAATCTGGGATTTTATAGAGGCATTTTAAAAGTTATGTCTCCCTGGTGCATATGGGCATGCTTCATGAAGTGCATGATTAGAGGGTACTAAGCCTTCTCTTTCTACATGTAGGTTGACCACTTAATTACAGATCAGTTTCCCTGACAATTTCTCCTATGCGTTGATTCAGGAAAATGAGTAATTCCTGAAAAGTAATTTATCTTTTCCATTTCCTTTCAGTCTGTTTTTTTTTTATTGGAAGGGACAATTAATCTCCCTGACTGACCAATACCAAATTCTGTTGCCCTGGGATGTGTGGAGAGATGGGGCAAAGGGTGAAGGGGAAAATCGATGTGGGGGAATAGGCTGGAATACCTACCAGAGGAAATGCTGGGGGGTAAAGATCCACCCCCTGACACTGGATGTGAGGCCAGGATGCTATTTAAAAATCCCGCCCTCAGGAATCTCGAAAGAGACTTCACCCCAATGGTCGGAAAGGATCCTTTTAAAGAGATAAAAATGATGATTAATCAAATGACTTGTTCTTTGGCTGATAAAAGAAGTTGACTGTTTAAAGAAAGAATAACCAAACCTCCAAAAAGTTAACAGTGGTTTCACTGGAACAAATATTTTAAAAAGCAGTTAAAAGTTTTTCTTTGTTTTTTAACCAAGTCATACAATACACAACTTTAACCAGAAAGAGCTTGTTTTCTACAGACTTTGCAAGTGGAGAATTCCAGCACTTCTAGGAGGAATGGAAAAATTTGAGATTTTAAAAGGCAAAATACACCTCTTGGATATTCATAATGTGTTTCAGATTACTCTATTATAGAGGCATTTTACATTTTGTACAGAAATCAAATAGTGACTGGTAGAGGTGAAGACATACCAGCAAAGCTGCATTTTATACTATTATCTTAAAGCCACCTGACAAAAGTCATGTCAGGCAAGGTGAGAAGGGGAACCAGAATTTGCAGATACGTTACTGACTTCTGTGTCAGGGCAGCTACATCAGTCAGAGCTTCTATCACATCTCTCAACACCTGTCAATATATTAATGCAGGCAAAAGCCATGAGACATGGCCACTTTCTGCTTTGCTCTCACCAGAAACTTTACAGATTTTTTGCTTTCAACAGAAGAAACTATATGTTCTTCTGATTGCCTAAATGTACAGTTTTATTTCTGGAAACAGAGATTATCTCATGCACCACTTTTAAAACAAGTACTTGTGGCATATCTATTATAATGATGATAAAGGACTCTTTATCATTTAATCCACTATTTCAGCTTTCAGCATATGTACAGAGATATAGAGGCATCATTTCAGCTAGTTCATGTAAGTGCTTAGTGAATGCTAGCATCAAAGATGAATCTGAAATGAGAGCTTTACACTTTTTCCTTAAAAGTAGAGTCAAGGTTTTCCCATCTTGCAATAAATTTGACAATCAGAATAATTTGCATGTTTTTGGAAGTACATCAAGCAAGCACTAATCCAAAAAATTTAGGCAATGGCAAGTTTGTTTCATCATCTTGCAGGTATTCCATAGTTGTTCTTTTAAGAGATAGAAAACATCTTAACATTTATGTACAATGAGAAAAATAAATGAGAAAAATACAATGAGAAAAATAAAACTAACTGTTAGGTTTTTTTAACTAATAAAAATGTAATGGGAAAAAATAAACCTCAAACCACTCATATGTATTTGTTGAACTTAAAGTATCCTAAGAGAGATTTGAATTTTTCTCTTATATTAATTTAAATAGTGTATTTTTGTATCTAATGGTTAAAGATAAGGCATAAAAGTTCCCTCTGGCCACTTCAGAAGCTAACTCTGGCAGTCTTGTCAAAGTGTTTCCAAACTCCATGGCTTTTATTTTAAAATATTTTCAAAAGTGATCATGGATGGAAAGTCCAGAATGCAATACACAGAAATTAAATTTTAAAATGAAGAATTGTTCCATAAAGTCCAAGATGTTTGGTACTAAAGAGCATCTTAAAACGTGAAGGCTAAATAATGAACATATGATGACTTCCCAAATAAAACTTCGCTTTTCTGTTTCAAAATATGAATTATACCAACCATAAAGAACACCCACTGTGAGTCACATGCCATATGAACAGACCTTCAGAAAAGCCAAACAGCTTGAGCTTCAACATTGACATTTTCCTACATTTATATAGTGTTAAATGACAAATAACCCAAGTTTCCTAGCACTGTTACACTAAGTTACTTCGTTGTAGAAAGTAATGGAGACAAAATCAAATTTGTTTCCCTTGTACATATGCAGAAATAAAAACAAGGAGCAGCAAATTTTGGAGCAATACACTCTGTGAGTATTAAGAAAAGAGCTCGAGTGCTAAAACTATTGAGGTTTTATTAGCAGCAAATAACTACTGGAATACATATAAATAATATTTTTCTGTCACTGAAAAAGGTAGGATTCAGTTGCTTAAGCATAAATGCTTTGTGTCATTTGAGACACTGTAGAAAATCTGAGACATTCACATTTGACTGGCAGACACGACAAGATCTGCAGGAGATTTGCACTCTGAGAGTGACAGCAGGAAGCAAAACAGTAGTTTGGTATCTAAGAGTAGGCATTAAGTGCCATTTTAGGCAACTGAATCCCATCCAAACAGTCCACTGTCACCTTAAAAATGTCTCTGATTAAGTAGAATACAGAGTTACAAGAATAAGACCTCCTTTAGTTTCTTCTAGAAGTCCACAAGCAGCTTCTGAAAATGATAAGGTTGATAACATTCAGCCCTAATCAGTATCCAGCAACATAAAAATGCAGACAAAAGACAGGTTGAAAGTTCATTGATGTTAAAACGTGCATAGTCCTAAATTAAAAGATAGCATATGTCCTAAAATGAATAAATGGGTGCTTTTCGGTATTGTCACCCGCACAATGTCCTAGGGTTTGAAACTCTATTACCTGACCATATACGTTGCCGTTGACTGTCACTGCAGGTAGTGGGAAAGAAAATTAATTCCCGTGAGTCCCATCAATCACTACTAGGTCAGAGGTCTGATAAGAGCTTTGGGCATTTACAATAACTGAGCAGCTTTACTCAAATTTTTGCTTGTTTGCAAAAACATTTGTGACATATTTGATAGAAAATCTGCAACAACAAAAATGTATTCAAGACAGAAATGGAGAAAGCTCTCTACTAACACACAAAGAAGGAGGGGAGGTGGGAGCTTGCTATTAAAGAGAAAACACCAGCTCAGAAATATTTTTCAGAAATAGTATCAACTTCTGTGTGGAAATCACTGAAAAGATTTGCATCTCCTTCTATCTGATCATGTTCTGTGTTTTTTTCTAATTGGAAAATGAAGATGTAGTGTTTCTTCTTTTTCCAAATTGGACTCATGCTTAGCTGAAGAAAAAGTCAACCAAAAATGTGCCTGCTGCTTTATAACCCGCTGTTTTTCACTCCAAATTGCAAAAGCAATATTACTTTTTTAGAGGTGTATGCTAGCAAAAGAAATCTTAATGCTTAATTTAAACAATTTCATTAAAGCAACCACACTGGACACTTGCTAGATGCTAGGATAGATATTATTTCTTTAGGTAACTAACTTTCTTGAGAAATGCCATTCCACCAGCGCACACTACACAGAGACTAATGCTTTACACACATTCTGTTGTTTTGTGTAAAAATTAACAGTCATTATTTTAGCAGTGGGTGATGTTATATTAATGGGTAGAGTCTTCAGTATAAGGTCTTATACTGTAATGTAATCTAGGAAAAGGAGACATAAATATTAAGCCATGAGTTCTGAACGCACTGATATACAGCTGTTATTTAGCAGCTTACAGGCATATATTTATTAAGAAAAAATGCCAAGCTCTCCTTATTCCATAGTTATACACTATAAACATCACGCCACCTTAAAATGGGAAATTGCATTACTTACAGGTATTAGCTGGAAAAGCGCATTGAAATAGTAAAACTATATGGCAATACTCTGAATAGCTGATAGTTCATGAAGCATCCACCATTTACTGAATTCGATGATACTAGTTTATAACAGTGTAAATTCTTCTGTTTTTGCAATTATTACAGCTAAGTGCTTGTGCTCAGAGGCAGTGGCAGAATACTGAATCAATTAGCCTGCTTTCCTCCTTCATTTGCTCTTCCAGGGGGAATATCATCCCACAAATTGTAGAATTTGATAGGGAAATCACTGTCGTAGCATCTTAAACTGGCATGGTTTTAGCAGCATATTATCACACAGGGCAGAAAGGCAAGAGTAGATAGCTGGGTAAAGGAAATATTAGTGCTTAGTTCAGCTCCAGAGTACCTACATAAATTCATACACATTTATTAGCACTTGCATGCCAAGCCAGAAGGAACAGCCATTTCTCCCCACAGCAAAGGCACATCCCACGACCTAGAGCTAGCAGCAATGTAACTGTGGTGAAGAGCCCCACATCTACAAAGGAGAAAAAGTTCTGCCACGTGGATTAACAAAAGTACTGGGCTGATAATAAATGAACGGATGAAGAGAATGGTGTCAAACATACTGGTACAATGCTGGTGGAACACAATGGACTAGCATGAAACACAGAACTTCTGTTGGAATGGCGAGTGCAGGGGCCCTTGTAACCTATACTAAAAAGCATTTAAAAGGAATTAACTAACCTGCACTTTAAAACTCTCAGGGACTGAGCAAGCTGAGAAACGTTGACCTGACCAATTATTTTTGCTGCTGACACTTTGCAGAAAATTCCAGCAGAAGAGCCTCAGAATTTTTTACAGAAACAGAACATAGTTTTATGCTGCTAGTGACAGTAGGTGTCCACTCACATCTGCTGACCTGAGTGCAAACATTCCCAGTTTTGCTCCCATATACAGTCCAGTGACACTGTCCTCACGGGCCTGCATCCCACCCTTTTCTCTTTGCCAGCTGCCGCCCTACTACCACAGCTGCACTTAAGCCGATGCCATAGGGTCTCCTCTGGGGCCCACAGGACCCACAGGGATGGGATCTGAAGCTGCAGGTACAGGTAGGCAGGGCCATCAGTTAGTTCCCTTTATGCCAGGGTCCCCGAGCCATGCTGGGAGCAAATTAAGCACTTTTATTTATTTTTTTTTTTACTTTAGCAATTGTACTTATGCAGCTTGTGGAGATTTGATTTTAAAAAGAACATTTCTATAGTCTCTGCATTGTGTCTTATGACCTGGCGGAAGTAGGTTAGAAAGCCCACTGAAGATGCAGACTGCTCTTCAGCCCTGCTATTTGTTTTTGTTGTTTCTTATCTATTACACTTGAAACTGATCCAATGCTTTCTGCAGGTGGAATTTACCATTTCAGGTGCTGTGCATTTTGGGTATCTAACACCTTGAAATCATTAGTACCATCAAAAGAAGAGTTTAGTTTGTTATTTTTCCCCACAGATTTTGTTTAGAATTTGGAAAAAAAGGAAAAATGCACAGTGAGTGTAATTAATATAAAAAGCCACTGATATTCTTTCTTCTATAGTGAGTT